TTCCTTTGTACTCTGTTTTATATTCCTTCATTTTCACATGAGTTCTATTTGTTCCTTTTTAGGTTGAAAGTCCGAACAAAAACACTTTTACAACGGATGGTGATTTTTGGAGCAATATCTTTAACTGTTTACAAAAATAAATACATATTATTTGCAACCCTTTACAAAAAAGAAAATGTCAAATCAAATGTTCGACTCCATAAACCGAATTCTGTATTCCTAATTAGAAAAATTGGAAACCCTAATTAGAATGCGGAAATCGCAAACCCTATTTAAAAATCCGAAAATATTTTTAAATATTACTTATGGCATTTGGTTTGGGTATAATTTATTAACATAAATACTAAAAAAAGTTGTGAATTAAAAAAAATTATAAATTAAATCATTTTTTCCGGTTTATAATTAGGGTTTCCAATTTTTACGTTCCAGTTAAAATTTTCAAATTTTCCAATTAGAGTTTTTTTTTGAACAAACCAACTTTTATTACTTCAACTAAGCTCCATTAATGGAGGAAATATTCAAAGACAATAATGCAACTTTTGCAAATAGATAGACAAAATGATCTTATGAGACATCGAATGTAAAAAAAGAATGCTTTTAATTCATTAACCACGTTTCTAGATGAGAGTAGAGAGACAAGAGAAAGAGAATCTAAGAAAATATTAATTTCTCGGATCCTGATGATGAAGCAGCACCGATGGCGACTTTTAGAGCAAGAACCTCAGCTACAAGTGCCTAAAAGATAAATTGTTGCGTAGCTGAGCCTTGAAAAAATTTATGGAGGAATCGGTCCATGAGTGCATAGATGAAGCAACTTGCATCGTTTTGGATTGGAGCATAGAGCTGACGTTTATCTAATTACGATCATGATGCGCCTTCTGCCCAGCTTCAAGCATCCCATAAAACCTTCTCGATAACCTCTAATTATGTGATTTCTCTATTCTCCGACACCAATAGATTTCGAGATTTCCAGAGTTGCCAACAAATGCATAGATATAACGCCACTGAAATTCCAGTTAAGGTTTTAGAATTTGGTTTTTAGAATCGAACATTTTATCTGACAAAAAGTCAGCTTTTATTGTATAATTAAGTTTAATTTAAACTATATAAAATCACGG